TATACAAACATATATATGTTTATCTATATATAATTATGTGTATAATTATATTTATATATATATAAATAAATTTATATATATATATTATATTATATTATATATATGGATATATATAAATATATATATGAATATATCTATATATATATATATATACAAATATATATTTATACTTATACATATATAAATATATGTAGATATATATCTATATATGTATACACACACATATATATATGTGTGTGTATATATATATATGTGTGTGTGTGTATATATATATATGTACATATATATATATATATATATATACATATATGTATGTATATACATGTATATATATACATATATATATATATATTGAAGTATTCAAACTTGTATTGTACATTTGTATTGGCACACAAACGAACGCACAGGCAAACACGTTTGTATTTGTAGACACGTGCATATTTTCTTAAAAATTATGAGTATAATATACATATTATATGTATATCTATTGATTCACAAATTCATGCGTATGTAATTAGTATTATTTAGCATGTTAGCGTAGAAACACCAACTCAATCTGAAAAGAGAATAGTTATGATTCGTATTTTCGTCATCAAAGCCTGTATGCCTCTGTTGAGTCCACTACAATGTGGTAGCCTTCTCTCAATTCTATTGACTCCTTACATTCGTATGTGAACATGAGCAATGCCGCACACCACGAATCCGTATTATTCTTAAAACGTCTTTTCATTCATATTCTGTGATGTAGGTGATCTTCCGAGATGGGCAGCCTCCAGAAAGAATAGGTTCGTACTCAACGTTGTTATGACCTGTATAATCCGAACATGTCGTTTCTGTGAAGGCCATTCCTGGTCACATGCTTAATTCAATCTATGCTTTTTGTAATTTTCTTACCTGTCATTTAGGGTTCCATTATACTTGCGTATAATACACGGAGTTTGCGATCTACGAGGTATACAACTCTGAAAAATATTGAGTGAAGTCATACTCACTCCAGTCCCTTCGATATGTACAACATTTTTGTGTGTGCTTGTTTGCCTATAATCTAACGTAGGCATCTGTATTCTTTCGCAAACAGAACAAAAAGATTCGTGGAAAATACGCGCAAGGATCGGTGGAGTGCGGGCCCGGGATTTAGTTGCGGTGGAGTCCGGGAGACAGGATACGATTCTTGTACGGCCGAACGTCATACTGACTAATGTTGGGGTATGTACTTCTATCTCTATACTAATCGAAGTAATACTGACTAATGTTGGGGTATGTACTTCTATCTCCACACTAATCGAACTAATACTGACTAATGTGGGGGTATGTACTTCTAGCTCCACACTTATCGGATGCAATACACTCCCTGAGTGCGCACATGCGTGTCCACCTATGTCATTTGGACTGGAGTAGGGGTGTTTACTACCATTCGTATAAACAGTTGTACGCGAGTTCGTTAGCTCGCATTCTTGTGAAAGGCGGCGCGACTGATGGAGGGATAGATAGGGCTTCTGCACATTTCACATTTCATCGCAGACTACGCCATTCCCTTTGCATAAAGACATCTCAACGACGATCGACCAATCCAACGACCTGAGAATTTGATTATTATTTTGGCATGTATTAAAAGCGCACGATTCGATGTCGAATGAGGAACTGCCAAGCTATCGGCGCGGTGTACGCTACCTTGAATTCCTCCGATACACCCACTGACGATCATCTTGGCCGTATACTTAAATTCGTTCGATCACATCTCACTTACGGGCCGCTCACGACGATTTGAATTGTGTCTCATTCCCTGTCAAAGGACTGCAGGGCTCTGATCACTAAGGATAGCTTGACAATGATAGACATGCCTGTGTGTAGGACGTCGGGCAACCCTTGTGAGCACATTGACCGACTCTTGACGAGGTATGGGTGCCAGCAATAAGAGCTGTGAGGAAAATTAGTAGTTACACTTCTTCATCCCTTATCAATTGATAGCTACACTTCTTCATCCCATATCAATTGGAGCTGTCACTGCCTCGCACAGCACTCCGCTGCACCCGCAAACCCCTTTTCCATTTGATATTGACACGATCCGGAAGTATGGGTTCGGATCAAGCTGTGTCGTAACTGAGACGTATTTCAAACCTTTCGATACACGTTTTGAATTGACGCGGGCTACGACAGGATGGAGAACATGTGCGCTGTTGTTTGACACAGAGGTGTAGTTTCTGAGTTGCCGTCAGATATGATTGCATCTACCGGCAGAGTTTAATATGCATACTGTCTCTTGTAATACTGTCGCTTATAATACTGTCTCTTATGCTATTTGTCGGTCAGGCAGGACGAAGAATGCCAGGAACCGCACGAAGAAGCGCTCCCGTTTGAATTCAGAGCACTTGACGCCGTGTTGGAAGTTGAGGTGAGTGGACCTTTTATAATAGGAGTGAAGTCATGGAAATACTCTCACCCTTTATGAACATGTCATGCGAATACTTTCACCCCATATGAATATGTCAGGGGAATACTCTCACCCTATATGAATATGTCATGGGAATACTCTTACCTATATGAATATGTCATGGGAATACTTTCACCCTATATGAATATGTCATGCGAATACTCTCACCCTATATGAACATGTGTATTTAACCCTTTATGAATATGTGTATTTAACCCTAAATGAAAATGTGTATTTACCCCTATATGAATACGTGTTTTTAACCCTTGCGGGGACCGTATGGCATCTTCCACTTTCAGCACCATCCAGACGGTAGTTGTTGACTGGTTCGTATTGCTTTTCTTCTGTTGCAGTGTAATCAATTACGAGCTTCGGTTGAGATCTTGAAGCCAGAGTTCTTTGCCGACCTTCAACTCTTAACGGGTAAGCCGGGACTAAAGTTGCGCTCAGTGAACCTATTCCATATGAATATGAGGCCAGATAAGGTTTTAACGCTACTTTTGGCTATGCCCTTGTAAACACATAAAAAATACGCACTTAGTTGTGTGTGGCTGTTGGCGAGCGTCGTACGTGTGCGTGTGTGCGTGTTAGCCGGGTTTTGTGGTGTGGATTGACTACTAGGCCCTGTCGTTCCGAGACCAATTTGCAAGACCCTCTTCAAGCCGCCCGAAACTTGCTTTGAGTTGTGTCGGGATCCTACCCCTACTTTGTTCTGCCTCATGGCGATGAACAGTCGTCAGTTATTCTGTTTACTAAATATATTGAGTGGGGAATCTGTCACGTACAAAAAAATCGTACCTCATTGCACGACCTTTCTTTCCGTAGAATCCATTCAGCAAAGTATGTCCAATCACACGCCGGTGCTCTTGCGGCTACTGTCGCACAACAAGCGGTTATTCCAACTTGAGAAAGAGGTGTGTTACACGAAATGCCTGGTTTTTTCTCATGTGTTTAAGGTAGTTGGATACGACTTGGATGAATTAATATAAACCTTAGCGGGCAGCAAATATTACACGGAGGTTTCCGTTTATATGAAGTAATATTTTGGGTGCTTTGCTACAAATGGCGGGTGAGCCAACCGGCGTAGAGGTCACTCGATCTGTTCTAAAACTTTTCCGGTCAACTGTCTATCATTTAGTGTCGTCATGTACTGAAATGGAAGTTGCCGCCTCACTTATAGACCATGCTTTTCCCGTCGCGTATAAGAAAGTTGGCAATTTATATCATACGGGATTACAAGTGAATACATATATATGTATATAAGTATATATATATATATATATTATATTTATATTATATATATATATATATTATATTTATATATATATATATATATATATATAGTTCTAATAGACAGCATGGGTGAATGGTCGGGAGAGTGGTTTCTGTTTGACCAGCGTTCCCTCCATATCTGTACACTCACTTTACTTTTCACTGCTCGTAGGTATCTGTACACTCATTTTGCTGTTCACTGCTCGTAGGTGTGTGGTATGAAGCGGGCTGTCGAGGCTGTGTTAATGAGTGACGAAGATATGGCCCAGATGTATCTGACAGACTTCGCATCCGATGGGTAAGCATTTGTGGCCGCAGGTGATCTGGAATATACCTTTCTTACTCCTTACACAGTTATAAGTATTGTACGCTTCTTGTTATATATGATCTTTTGAATGTATAATTGGCTTTGTAAATACGGCTTCTGCAAATGCGTGTTAAGACTCATTTCATCCCCAATACAGATTTTGAGGATTCACCACCTTCGTGTTTGTTGTCTCTTATGTACCTCGTAGACTACTACATACATGAGTCTGCCTGATGCGTTAGCAAGACTTAGCATCGGCATATGTTAGCCTTGATAACATTCATGAGTCGTGGTCTACTTTTGCATGCATGGAGGAAGCACCAATACATCCCAATCTGTATACAGATACTTCAAATCTGTACAAACCGATAGATAGTTTGTGTGTGATTCATATATGGCTGCATTGATGCGTATGAATACACATACCATGACAACCGAACATTATGTCATCACAGCTTATCTATGCGTATACGTACTCCACACACCAACGTCCAGTAAACCACGGTCCCTGGAAGACCACACTGAGGCAGAAGTACTGTTTGAACAGTCACTGTATCTAATCGAAGAGTTAGAGCGTGAAGTGTTGCAGCTGAAGTCCATCGCGCGTGAAACGGAAGAGTTTGTGAACATCAACTTGAACAGGTGAGTGCGAAGGGGGAAAGAGGTGAGGTGAGGCGGAGGGGGTTGTTCATGCGTACTATATGAGACTTTATTTGGTGCGAGTGACAATTGCAAGTATTCAACTCTTCTGGTTATTATAGTGAACTGAAGTAGTGCGTATACATGCATAGTTTATCAATGTGTATATTTTGCATAATTGCATGAGCCTGTTCCTATTGCGCCTGCCTGCGCGGTGAATATTGAGGTCTGTATATAGCCTATTGAGATGCACGCATGGCTATGAAATTTCGCGCTGTATTCGTTTGACTGACGACGTCGTCAATTTCTCCCTATTCGTAGTCAACGGAACGCCATTATGACCCTGTCCTTGAAGTTGAATATGGGCATGTTAAGCACATCCGTCCTAGCCTGTGTAGCAGGTGTTTTTGGTAAGTTGTGAACTGAGACAACCTAGCGCTTTTCCAAGCTTCTTCTATTGGCTGTGTGCTTGGGAGAATTAGGGTTTAGGGTTTTCTTGAGGCTACTTCTTTCGTCTGTTTGCTTTGGAGAACTGTTTGTGTGCTTGCGAGAATTAGGGGTTAGGGTTTTCTTGAGGCTACTTCTTTCGTCTGTTTGCTTTGGATAACTGTTTGTGTGCTTTGCCTGTCCTTGACGGACGGGTGTCAGGCGGAGTATCGACCTACTCACAGCTGATGATTTTCCCATGATGGATCAACCATTGATACTGACAATCGATACTTCATGCCATACCACACACTGCAGGAATGAATCTATCATCGGGGCTTGAGGGTATGTCCAAAATTGATTTCTACTTGACGAAAACATTTTCTAAAGTCCTAGAGGCGCCATTTGCTGATATGTGCAGACAGTCGAATTTACAACGGTTTTATTTGATATATTTCGTTTGAAGAATTCTATATGAATTGGTATGCTTGTCACCGTCCTATGAGAGCTAAAGCACCCTATACATTTTTTTACTTAGATGCGAACGGCATGTTTATCGGCGTGACCGCCAGTGCCGTGACTGTAACGGGTGTTCTCCTGGGTACTCTACTACGCCGAGGCCGTATGCTGCGACTATGGTAGACATCAACTAATAAATGAAAGAATAGTATAAACTAATTATTAAAAAAGAATACAACTAAACATATAATGGGTGTACGACTATTAAAGCCAGTAAATAGTTTACCGCTATTCATGGCAAGTCAACCACAGTACTTGCAAGGTGGAGTAATGAGAACGTCACGAAAATTTCTAGCTCAGATTAAGCTATGAGAACAGAGTCAATTTATAGCCAATATGGCATATCTATACATACACGCACACAAACGCACACACACACATACACACACATAGACACAGACATATATATATATATATATATATATATATATATATATATATATATATATATATACTACTACACTATACTACACTACACGACGTACGTACGTAGTAACGAACG